TAGCTCACCCGGCAGCCAAACAGAGCACAACTTACTTGGCACGCCATTGCGGTGGCGCCGCTCGCACTACTCGCCTCGCATATAGATAGCGCTACCACCTTCTGCTTCAAAGGATGACCATGAAATTGGGACCGACCGAGGAAGACGAAATGCGCCGAGGTGCTCCGTCGTCCGTCGATGTCCCCGCCATGTTCTGCATCGTTGAACACCGTGAGCTGCAGCCCTACTTTCCCCGCCTTTGGGAGGATGATTCTATGATTCACCGTCCCCTTGACGTGGCGTACTAGCCGCTTTACCGCAGCCCGATGATCCTCTCTCGGATCCTCCATGAAGCGACCGACGTAGCCCACACGAACGCAATGTCCGGCCTTGTGTGGACTAGGTAGCGCGCATCGCCGACGATGCTGCGGTAGAGTGTTGCATCTACTTTCGCCAGTGGTGTCTGTCCTTCGTCGACTTCAGCCGCTCCTCCATCGAGTCACGCATGGCTTGCACTCCACCATGCCGCTCCTCTCCAACATCTTGAGGCATACGCGCTTTGCCCGGCGTGAGTTCCTCCTTCCTGTCTCACCTCGATGCCGAGGTAGTAGGAGAGAGCGCCGAGATCGCTCATTCGGAAACGAGCTGCCATCTCTCGCTTGAAGTCGTTGATATCCTCCGTGCGCTGCGCGCGGTGACGATTAAGTCATCCACATACACGCCGACCACGAGTTCTTCCTTCCCTGTTATCGCGTGTAGAGCGCGTGCTCGGTTCTTGCACCTCTCTGAACCCAAGCTCGCCCAGCGTGGTGTCAAGCTTGGCGTTCCATGCTCGAGGGGCTTGCCTCAGCCCGTAGAGCGCTTTGCGCAGTCGGAGCACCCTGTGCTCCTCTCCCTTGACAGCGAACCCTGGAGGTTGCCTGACGAAGACCGTTTCCGCCAGCTCGCCGTTGAGGAAGGCCGATTTAACGTCCATGTGATGGACGCGCCAGTCCTTTGCTGCCACCAAAGCAAGTAGCAAACGGACCGACTCCATGCGTGCTACTGGTGCAAAGACCTCCTCGAAGTCGATGCCCTCGCGCTGGACAAAGCCTCGGGTGACGAGACGCGCCTTGTACTTGACAATGGCGCTGAGCTCGTCCCTTTTGACTTTGTACACCCACTTTAGGCTGATCGGACGGCATCCTGGGGGTGGATTGACGAGCTGCCAAGTCTCGTTTTCCTCGATCGCTTTCATCTCCTCCAGCATTGCCCGTCGCCAGTTTCCATCGCGCTCGGCTAGCGCGAACTTGGGTGGTTCCTCTGCACTAACGAGTAGCAGCTCTGCGTTGTTGAGCAGCCTACCTGCCATACCTGAGGGACCTGTGCCGCCGACGATGTCGTCCAGCCTGCGGAACCTCAACTCCTCACCTTCGTGGTAGGCGTCCACGAACTCAGTGATGTCACTTGGAGGTGAGGCGAACTCGATCAGGGGTGATGAAGTTCCTTCTTCCGCCGAGTGCCCCCATGATAGCACCCGGTGTGCTCGGTCTCGCTTCGGATTGCTCGTCATAACTCCTGCGCAGTGTTCGCCCACACCGTAGGAGTGCCCGACCTCGATCTTGGAGTGGTCGGAACCACGAGAAGACGCCTTGGCTCCGCCACGGGAGTGCTCGGTACCTGTCTCAAGTGGTCGCCGCCATCAGTAGAACCTCCTCCGCTCCACTCTGGCGTGCTCGGCATTCCTCCGTAAGTGCTCGACACTCCTCTCGAAGTGCTCGGCATCCCTCCCGAAGTGCTTTCGGCACTTTGCCTAGAAGTGCTTTCGACTCTACCGCCGGAGTGCTCGGCGCTCCTCCCGGAGTGCGTGGCACCTGTTCCGCAGCGTCTCCACCGCCGTGGATGACCAAGTGTTCGACGACGAAGGTGTTGGTGAAGCCTCCCACTTCCCCTGTGCTCGGACTGTGCCAGTCCCAAGCTGCCTCCTCGTTGAACACAACGTCAGCGCGAGATAGTCACCTTGTCTCCGCGTGGGGTCATAGAGCCAAGACGCGCTTTGGTACCCTCCGCGATAGCCCAGAACACCATGGGTGTGCTCCTGCCCTCCAGCTTGGTGAGGTTCGACCGTCTTCTGACGTGGCCGATGCAACCGAATGTCCGGAGGAATGACACGTTCGGCTTGCTCCCGTACCAAGCTTCGAACGGCGTCTTGCCCGTTAGGGCTTTGGTTGGAGTGCGGTTGAGGATGAACACCGCCGTGGTCATCGCCTCTCCCTAGAACTTTGCCGGCATCCCTTTGGCCTTCATTATGGATCGGGCCATGCCGACCACTGTCTGGTTCCGTCGCTCCACCACGCCATTCTGTTGTGGCGAGTATGGCGCGGTGTGATGTTGCCCCACACCGTGATCCGCGTAGTACGTAGCAAACTCCACCGAAGTGAATTCGCCACCCCGATCAGTCCTCAGTACACGGAGCTTCTTGCCGCTCTCGGCCTCCACGCGCGTCTTGAACTTCTTGATCGCCACCGCCGCTTCGTCCTTGCTCGTCAGGAGTTGCAGCCACATGTAGCGACTGCAATCGTCTATGAGTAGGAGGAAGTACCGCCGACCACCGCATGTAGCAGGCGTGATCGGCCCGCAGAGGTCGCCGTGAACTAGCTCGAGAGCTTCCTTCGCGCGATACTTGGCCGCCTTTGGGAAAGGTAGCCTCCTCTGCTTCCCGGCCAGGCAGCTGTCACACAGCTCGCCTCCGTGTTTGATGTGGGGTAGCCCTCGGACCATCTTCCCCAGCCGACCAAGCGCGTCGAAGCTGAGATGTCCGAACCGGGCATGCCACATCCACGGTTCCTCGGAGTGCCTTGCCGCCAGGCAAACCGGCTGCTCTACCTTCAGGTCGAGCAGGTACAACTGGTTCAGGGACCTCTTCACCTTGGTGAGAAGTCGCTGCTCCCGATCTCTGATCCTCAGAACGCCGTCCTTGATCAGAACCTCGCTACCATGCTCATCCAGCTGACCAATGCTGATGATGCTGGAACGCAGCTGTGGGATGTAGTATACATCCGTTAGCGCACGGTGCTCCACATTCTGGCATCTAAAGATGATGGTGTCGCTCCCTTAGATAGCCACCCTTGAGCCATCACCAAACTTCACCGTACCGGTAACATCGCCGTCGAGCTCGGAGAAGGAGTCCTTGAAGCCCGTCATATGGTTACTGGCACCAGAGTCCAGATACCACCGCTGCTCCTGGTCGACGCCCACATGCCCAAGATGGACTTGGGCGCGTGGTTCGTCGAGGTTGACGGTCTTTAGGGCCTTGCTAGATCCTTCCACCGTCGTCGCCTCTTCCCTCTCCATGGCCTCGACGTCGTGCAGTGCACAGAACGTCGCCATAAGGATAGTAGGCTCATCCTCATCATCGGCTTTCGCCAGGTGAGCCTGAGCCTTCTTTTCCTTCTTGCGATTTGGGCACTCCCATGCCCAATGGCCCATCTTTCCGCAACACCGACAGGCATTGGAGTCGATTTGCTTCTTCCCCGAAGAAGCCCCGCCGCGATGTTTGCCGTTGCCACCGCGACTGGAGGAGGCTGCCTTCCTGGAGTTTCGCCGAGCAGCCCACTCCTCTTCTATCAGCAGGAGTTTCCCGCTGTCCTTCGTTGCTGTCGCCTGCTCTAGGTGCTCGTCCACCGCCCGTAGACGGCCTGCCACATCCTCGATGGTGAGGGTGGACAAGTCCAGCATCGTCTCTATGGATAGAGCGATCTGGATGTACTTTGCCGGCACGGAGTGAAGGAACTTGGAGACCGCCTCCTCTTCGTCGATGGTGACGCCGTGGCTCTTCATCTTGCTGATGAGCGTCTGCAGGCGGAGGGAAAAGTCCTCCACCGTTTCACCATCTTTGAACTTGAGGTTTGCGTACTCCTGCTTCAGAAGCTGGGCCGTCGCCTTCTTTGCGCGGTCGGAACCGACGCGCATCGTCGCAATGGCCTCCCACGCCTCCTTAGCTGAGCTCTTCGTCCCCAACGGTTCCCTATACTCTGCTGGTACAGCAGCGAGGATAGCCTCCATCGCTAACATGTCGTCTTCTTCCACGTCGGTGCCCCTGTCAACAGTATTCTAGAGCCGTCTGGCTCTGAGCTTGACTTTCATGGTCACCGACCACTCTCCATAGTTAGTGCGAGTCAGCGTCGGCCAAGTGGTGCCGCTGACCTCCCGCACCATGCGGACAACTACCTCCGGTAGTGGCTGGGCAGCTATGACAGTGCCACTGCCATCGCCCAACTCCAAACCGCCTATCCTCGCCATCGGTTAGAATGACGACGGCGCTTGTACAGCTCTGATACCACTTGTCGGCCCACGGGATCACCGTCTGACGATAGTGAACTAGTCTTCGACCACTAGTCTCTCAGACCAGACCAGACCACTAGTCTCCCGACCACTAGACCGGTTCTGTCCGTACCCACACACTACGGATCGAGCTAGAAGAAGAAGAGAGAACAGAGCAAGCACGCACAATACAAGACAACAACGTTGGCCGAAGCCCTATCTGTGTGACGACAAATCTGAGCTCTCTTTACTGAGTTGCCTTGGTTCCCTATTTATACAACTCTATCTATCTAACTAAAGTACAGCGCACATGCTGTAACAGTAACTAGATAAGTATACAGGGCTGACTCTGCGCCGGCCACTGCATGTGCCTACAGTGCTGTAGGTGAGCCATGCGGCGCCTGCACCTACAGCGGCTACTGTATTACAGCAAGGGGTAAAGTCGGCGCCGCCTTCCTCTACTGTGTTTCACACAAGGTGGCAGTAGATTAGCTAATAGTGGCTACCTCTCGTACGCCGTCGTCTTCATCTTGGACGACCTCCTTGTCTTGTGGTGTCCAAGGCAGCCAGCCCTCCGAGCGCAGGCCCTCTAGGACAAGGTCGCTGTCGTCGTGGTAGCTGTCACGGTAGGTCTCCATGTCATCGTCCCTCATGCCTGCGACAGCCGACCATAGGAGGTCCCTCTTCCACTCCGACACCCGCGGGAAGCCGTAGTGCTTCTACCCAAACTCGTCGCAGTACTCGAAGTCGAAGAACATGGCATGCGAGATTTGCCTGGGCACGCCGGCCTTCTCCATGGCGTGGTGGTACTCCTCGGCGGAGCGCATCATCTCCTCCGACGACGGCAGCTGCCTCCGGCCGGACAGCACCTGCGCCACCCACCTCGCCTGCACCTCGTAGAACAGCGGCACCAGCGCCAGCCTGGGCAAGCCCACGAAGGACAGCGACGGCGCCAGCACCGGTGGGAAGGTGTGCTCGAACAGCGGGTCGACGTCGTCGTCGTCGACGGTGACCAGCCCTCCCGGGTCCAGGAACGGGAACGACAATTCGTACCCAGTGTAGTAGATGATGGAGTCGGCGACGACACACGAGCCGTCGGCGAACATTACCTGCCCATCGTCGCATAAGCACTCCACCTGTAGGTGCGGGTGCAGGTTGTGGTGCCTTGACACAGCCTTGGACACGCTGGGAGAGACACCCTCCATGGACTTGACACTGACATGCACCTCCATCGCCACCCTAGAGAGCTCCAGCGTGATGTCCTTGCCGCTGTCATGGAAGCCCACGACCACCACCACCTCGCCGTGGAAGGAGTCCGGGACTCGGTACGAGTGGGAGTGCAGCTGCCTCCTGCTCCACTTGTCCATGCCTAGCAGCTCGATCCATTGACCAACAAGACAAATTCATCCTTTGCAATCAATCACGACGGCAATCGATGAGAGGTCAGAAAGTACCTACCGGTGATGGTTGGAAGCCTTGGCTGGGTGTTTTGGCCGACGGCGACGACGACGGCATCAAACACATCCTCCGTGGTGACCACCTCACCCTCACGGTCACCATGTCTCGAGGACCACCTCACAATCCACCGCTTCACGCCGCCATTGTCAGCGGCACACGGCGCCGCCAGGTCGACGTGCAGGACCTTGGTGTTGAGCCTGACGATGTCCATGAGCCCGAACGCGTCGCAGAAGTCCCTGATGTACCTCAGGAACTCCACGTGCCCCGGGTACCGCCGGGCGTCGCCGGTGCCGTCGTTGCTGGGGAAGAAGGGGAAGTCGGAGAAGCACGTGAGCTCCCTCAGGCTGATGAGCCGGACGGAGGCGTACATGCTGCTGTGCGCGCCGGCCGCACCGAGGGGGTCACCGCCGTCGGTGCTCGGGTCGTACAGCCACTGCCCGCCGATGCCGCTGCTCTGCTCCATGACCGTCACGTCGTGGCCCTCGCGGAGGAGCTCGCGGGCAGACGCCAGCCCCGACACGCCGGCGCCGACCAGACACACCTTCTTGGATGACACCATCTGACCTCGCCGCCGTGTCGTCTCTCCTCCAACTGATGGAAAAATGGATGAAACCATGTAATGAATCACGGAAAGCCAAGGGCGGTTGGAAGAAATTTTATCCTTGAACCAAAGGCACTTGAATTATTCTCCCTTTTCTGATGTGTTTTAGTTGCAGTATAGAACAATGCAAGCACTGTTCGAAAAGGAAAGTTGTGATGATGTGTCGCTATGATCATTATTGATATCTAATCATTTTCCCATTGGAAACATACAAAGATATATTTTCCAACAGGCTGATGATAAGGTTCTGTCTAACAACAATGCTAGGTATAAGACGTCTGTATGTCCAGACGGTGCCGATGGTGGGCCGCAACGCAGCCCAACAATCGTCTCTGGTCTCCTCACCACTCGCCCCCAACCGTTCTTAAAAAAAAGAAAAAACTCACCTCACCATAGTGCCACGACGGCTCTCCGAGACCGCGCTCCGCCTCGGCGACCGCACTCTCCACCGCGCTTCCTCTCCACCGCGCCTCCCTCTCCATCATGCCTCTGCCCCGCCGGCCGGCATCTCCCCCACGCCAGAGTAGGCAGCCCGTTGAAAGCACTAGTTTGGTTTTGGTGAATTGTTGAAACCCCAAGTGCTAACCTAGTTTATTAAAGTGATCGTGAGATATGTAGCACTATTCCAAGTGGTGAGCAAGGATGGAGATGATCAAGATGGTGGTATGACCATGGTGATCAAGTGCTCAGGCTTTGAAAAGAAGAAAGAGAAAAACAAAAGGCTCAAGGCAAAGGTATAAGTGGTAGAAGCCATTTTATTTTGGTGATCAAGACACTTAGTGAGTGTCGTCATATTTAGGATCGATAGCCGTACTATTAAGAGGGGTGAAACTCGTATCGAAATGCGGTTATCAAAGTGCCACTAGATGCTCTAACTCATTGCATATGCATTTAAGATCTAGTGGAGTGCCAACACCTTTAAAAATGTTTGTAAAAATATGTTAACACACGTGCACAAGGTGATACACTTGTTGGTTAGCACATTTAAGCAAGGGTGGAGAAGTTGGTGAAGTAAAGGAGGTGATTGTCACTGAAATTCAGTGACCGGACGCTGGTCACTTACTGATCGGACTCTGGCTGAACACTGTTTAGCGTCCGGTCCTGCTGACGTGGCGGCGCATAGAGAAGAGAAGGAGGAGCGGATGCACTGGAGCGTCCGTCGTGGTGGACCGGACATGTCCGGTCACAAATTTCTGTCTCTAGATGCTTACTGGAAACGACTGGACTCCTGGCTAGGGAGCGTCCGGTCCTACACTGTGGATCGTCCGGTCAAAACTTACCACATGGCGCTGTGAATCAACCATTGGGATCGGGCGGCTGATGTTGAATTCAGGGAACACGTGGCACGCATCGCACGACCGGACACAGGGGTCCAGCGTCCGGTCAACCTGACCGGCACGTCCGGTCAGCCCGTATTTCACTAGACAGAGGAACCAACAGCTCTATTCGTGAGGTCTCTCTATTTAAGCCACATGTCCGGCTCTAGCTCACTCTCCTGGCCATTTGCATTGACATAGCAACCTTGTGAGCTTAGCCAAAGCTCTCCCACTTATCTCTATCATTGATACATCATCTTTGTGAGATTAGGAGTAAATCCACGTGCATTGCTTAAGTGTTTGCATCTAGAGGCACTTGGTGTTCGTGTTTCGCTGTGGAATTCTCTTGTTACTCTTGGTGGTTGCCACCATCTAGACGGCTTGGAGCAGCGAGGATCGTTGAACGGAGGTTGATAATTGTCTCCAGCTCCGATCATAGTGATTGTGAGGGGTTCTTGACCTTTCTCCGGTAGAGAGCCAAAAGATACTCTAGTGGATTGCCCATGGCTTGTGTGATCCTCATCTTGTGTTGGTTGTGCGGCACCCTATTGAGGGTTTGGCATGTGATGCCAATTAGCACGTGAACCTCCAAGTGAGTGAATCGCCACAACGAGGAGTAGCTTGTTGACAAACAAGTGACCTCGGTAAAAATCTTGTGTCATCATTGTCTGAGAATTTCATTGGCTATCTTGTGATTGATTGATTGGCTCCATCTTGTGATTGGCTCATACCTCGACTCGTCGGTATAATCATCGTCATTCTCTCTTGTATTACATTCCTAGTGTGTAAGCTAAGCTCATTAGTGTAATTAGTTTTGAGAGCTAGCTTACGTCGGGACTCGTGGGTAGTGAGGCTCTTTAGTTAGTCTTTGAGAGCTCACTAATTTAGTGTAGTGACATATCCTTTGTATGGATAGAGACTATTGAAACTAAAATTATGGTAGGTGGCTTGTATTTTTAGTAGGCTAGCGCAACACTCGCTTCGCCTCATATTTGTCTAATCGGTTTGTTAAGTGTTGTTGTATAAATTTTTAATAAGCTATTCACCCCCCTCTAGCCATTAGGATCTTTCACCCGTCTTCCTCGCTCTCCACCGTGTCTCCCGTGCGCCGCGGCCATCTCCAGCGCGCAGACCCACCGTAGCCTTCTCCACAGGACCTGTCATGGCCTTCTCCACCGGAGCAGCGAGCTTCGCGCCATCAGCGAGCTCTACACCGGAGAACTCCACGCGATGATCAGCCTCCATTCCCAAGCAGCAAGGAGATGTTGCATTGAAAGTGCATGTTGCAAACATATGTTTCATGTGTTTCAGATGTTTCAGGGGTATGTTCCAAGTGTTTCATATGGGTGTTGCAAAAGTAGATTGGGATGTTGCATATGCCGCAAGTGTTTTAGAGGCATGTTGCAAGCGTTTGTTCAGAGTGTTTTATTTTTTTCAGACGTATGTTGCAAATATTTTTTATCTGAATGTTGCATATGTTTCACACATATGTTGCAAGAGTATGTTCTAAATGTTTCAACTATTTCATTCTTATGTTGCAGTAAGTGTTTTCATGTTACAAGTGTTTTATCCGTATCTTGCATATATGTTTGACACATATGTTGCAAGTGTATGTTTCATCTGCTTCAAACTTATGTTGCATTCAAGTGTTTTATGTTGCAAGTGTTTCGTGTTTCAGAGGTATGTTCAGAGAGTCAAGGGGCACAACCCTGGCGCGGCAAGCTAGGGGCTGGCAGATGGGGCGCATGGCGCGCCTGGGTCCCTACAGATGGGGCATGCTCATCCTCATCCGGGCTCCCAAGTCCCGCCCGAGCGGAGAGAGAGGAGAGGTCTGGGGAAGGAGTGGCGGGCGCAGCCGAGGTGCGCGTGCGGGGCAGGGCGAGGCAGACGAGGGCGGGGTACGCATGTGGGGCAGGGCAAGGCAGACGGGGGACGAACGTGCGCGTGCAGCAATGATACGGTGCTGCGGCAGGCGCAGGCGAACGGGTTGGGGCAGCCGCATGCGCCGGGCGTCATCTGGACGCGCTCATCTGCTCCGGGCAGAGCTAGTAATTCCCTTTGTCTAAGGTGCTTGTCAGTCCTATGTGAGGTATGATGTTTCTGTTAACCCGCTAGTATGTGGTGGTCTGTTGCAGATAACATATTTTGTAGAAATAACGTAGAAAAAAAATATGTTTTAAAGCTTGCAGGGTGTAATATGATTATTTTTCCTTGTCCCCCGTATCTATTATATTATTGGCAAATTTTGTGGGATTTGTCCCATGTAACCTACTACATGTATTGGTGAAGGCATACACACATCTAGAAAAGAACTGTCAGACCTTCTATTTTAGATTTTTGAAGAACAATCTTGTTTGTAATTGTACTAATACATCCACATTCAAGTGATATAAAATTCAGAGAACGCGTGTGTATGGAGGCGACTCGAGGGCGCTAGCCTGGCCGCCCCCTAGTGCCTCACCTCCTCGTCGGTGGCCAGGGGGAGGAGCTCAAAAAGGCTTCCTTCCCCATTCTTCTCTCCTCTGCTCTTCCCCTCCACGAACCCCAAAATCCCTCGATTTATGCATGTTTCCGCTAGATCCGTACACATAGAGACTAAGGTTGCCTGGAGCTCATTTGGATTGAACCCTGGGTCATTGCCTGCCCCAGGCAATGCTTCAACGCCCAGGCGAGCAAAATCGGTTGCCAGGTGCTGCTTTGTTTGCCTAGCATGCAATAAGTACGATGTGATGGTCTTCTACTATTAAATATTTGAAGAATTATCCATTAACGCACTATGCTATTTCAAATATTTCTTAGATGTTACTGTTACTGCTAAAAGGATTTCCTACCGGCGGGATATTAAATTGGTGCAGCTACTGTTCATTGATATCGCTGTTTTTGTGTGTAGGTTATTGTTTTCTATTATTTATTTAAATCCTTTATTTGTCTTCATATATATTATTTAAACAAAAGAAATTAAAGTTTTATTAGACAAGAAAGCACACTTTATATTCACAGTAGTTTTTTCAGACCATAACCGTGTATGTTTAAATATGGTATTATACTTTTTATTAGCTTTTAAATATGTACTGTATCTTTTATTAGCCTTTTCAGGCACAGGCTTCTAACCAAACGAACTATCTCGTAACTTGCCTGGCCAGGTAGATTTTATCAATTTTCCAAGTAACTTTCAGGCAACACTTTTTACCAGGCAAGTACTCCAGGCTTCCATCCAAACACGTCCTAGATCCGTGCAGGGAGGGACTGGATCTGTGTAGCTGCGGTAGGCGTGGCCGCGGCAGGCCTTCTGGAGCGGGACTTGGCCGTGCGGGCCCCGGCGCTCATGGTCTGTCGTGTAGGTGCCGGCCGCGGGGCTTCGTCAGTATGGATCTACGCACGGCGCACGAGTGCCAAGCGGGGCTGCCTACCGCTTGCTGCGAGACGCGCGGTGGTCGCTGGCTGCAAGGCGGCACGGGCTTCAGCGCAGGAGGCCGTCATGGCGCACGGACTCAGCATCGTGAGGGGCCGCCTGCCGCTAGCTGTGGGCGAGGTTGTCCCTCCATCGTTTAGCCTCCGGTGCGGGTCCAGTTGCTGAAGGCGCAGGCAGCGCTCGGGTGTCGTGTGAGGTCGCCGACCGGAAGCTACGATGCGTGCGGGTCG